TCGAAATATTTTTAAGACCCAAGTGCTTAAAACTATTTTTTAAATTTGAATCTTCGATCAACGAAATTTTCATTTCTTCCTTGCAAAAACTATTTTTATATTATATTTCTTATTGTACTTAATATTTTCGAGTTTTTTTCTTTTCTAATTAATTGCTTTAATCATATTAATAATAAACTGTAAACAAAAATTGTATTAGATAAGAAAGAAGGAAGATATTTTGAAAAACGCCTTTGCCCCACATAGCGGCTTTGCCCCGCTCTCCCCTACATTAGATGTGGCATTATCACCATTTTTTGTTTTCTTACTATACTTTAAACGTTGTATAATGTTTAAGTAAATGGTATTCTAAACTTGCAATTAATTTGTGAGAATTTATTTTTTAATTAAGGCCGAATTGTTCGTACACATATATAGCTTTGCATGTTAATTACTGGTTATGAACTTTCAATCAACACAGGTGACAAAATCAATAAATCGAGTAGTGAAATTGAAAATTATGTTTGTTTTGTAATATGTTCGATGAATCAACAGTGGTTTTATTTCCTGAGCGTCGTCTGACCGCATATAGACCTCAACTACTGCGGGTGACTTTCATTACACATTGCATTACTGAGCATATTTACTTTACAACAGAAATTGTTTCAAAACAAATTTATATCTACTTGTCTAAATGAAATTATTTACTATTTTTAATTACTTTTACTTCATTCTTTATAGAATATAATAAAAAAGTATTCTCATACAATAACATCCATTTTATATTTGAAAAATATTTTTCATGGGGTTACATACCTGTTTGCTCGGAAAAATTGTGGAACGTTTAAAAAAACAAATGCAATATGTATTTGTAATGTGTTTAACAAACAAAAAACTGCTGCCAAGTTATAGTGCTGATAATTATTTTAAATTTAGATATACATATTGCTACCTCATAAAGATTTAAGTCAATAGCTAATATTTGAAAATACGTTTTTTTGAATTTTTGATATTTGAAATGTTCATATTTCCATCCTATAAAGGTTAAACTTGATTAATAGGGCTTAAAATACTCCTATGTCATGTCCCCTAATGAAATCTATAATTTAAAAAAAATTCAGGTCAGTAACTCTTCTAATTCCTGAGATATTGAGGCAAATGTAATGTTGGTATACACACACACAAGGATATTTTTTCAAATATCATTTTTGGATTTCTGTGGCGATATTATTGAATCTTTTTTTGTTTACGAAGTAGAGCACAAATAACTGAATATTTATGCAAAAAGCCGTTCTTGAATATATCATCACTGGAAAAAAATATCCTCCAAATGTGGCCAAAAATTGCACTCGAATTTCTTCGTCAAAACAATAAAACCTCCTTTATGAGGAAGCAAAATATTACTAATTGTGAAAACTGACCGTTACCCTGAAATACTTGAATTTAGGGTAATTGTGGGTTATTCTGCTGATTTTCAGTGTAGGTTAACTTTGCAAAACTTGTTTGAGCTCATATTTAAACCAAATGTCGTTATTTCAATTACAAATGAAAGTTTTATTATTATTAAATTTTGCTAATAAATTCAAGTTAGGTTTATTGGAAACTCCTAGCATTTAAAAATATTAATTAAAAAATAATTGTAAATGAGGGTATTGCTGTTGAGATGTCGATATTCCTGTGTGGCAATTACTAACGAAACACCAATTCCTGTGCGGGTATAACTGCAGAAAATCAGGCTGCGCATGACACAATGATCTGAGTGAAGGCCTGAGCAAAATAGAAACGTAACCGGAATCGTAATCGCAAACACAACCGGAAGAATGAGTTAGAGAAGGATAGATAGATTGTTTGTCCTTTTCTAACTTATTCTTCCAGTTGCGTTTACGATTACGATACCGATTACGTTTCTATTCTGCTCAGGCCTTGACCGGTAACATCAACAAAGAAGTTAGGTTATGTCTTTGCGAAGAGTTGCGCAGTGAACGTATTTAAAAATCGCAGGAATACACACAAGCAATGAAAATATTGCTGGTAATACAATTTTAAGGAATATTACCCAGATAGCACGCAAGTTTGCTGCCAACTTGCAGCCGACTTGCGTTGCAAGTTTTGCAAGTTTGCACTGCAAGCTTGCTGCAAGTTTGCTGCAAGCTTGCAATGTCCCAACGTAGCTTGCAAAGCAAGTTTGCAGCAAGTTTGCAGCAAGTCTGCTGCAAGTTTGCAGCAAGTTGGCAGCAAGTTTGCAGCAAGTTTGCTGCAAGTTTGCTGCAAACTTGCATTGGAAGATTATTAATTTATTATTTAACGTATTAATTAATTAAGTATTAATTTAATTTAAGATACAAATTCCCTTTACTATGTATTTAGCACTATAGCTGGGAGGTAAAAAAAATTTACTGCGCAGCCCTATGTGCTATAGAATTGAACTGCGCATTGTTTTTTTGTTTATTTAAAATATAGTTTTTTGCAAAATATAATGTAGTATTTGCAAACTTGCAGCAAACTTGCAGCAAACTTGCAGCAGACTTGCAGCAGACTTGCTGCAAACTTGCTTTGCAAGCTACGTTGGGACATTGCAAGCTTGCAGCAAGCTTGCAGTGCAAACTTGCAAAACTTGCAACGCAAGTCGGCTGCAAGTTGGCAGCAAACTTGCGTGCTATCTGGGTAATTATAAACAAATAATAAATAGGTAACTAAATATTTATTTAAAACAATAAAGCCTACTTTATTTAATAGTCCCAAGTAGCACGATATATCAACCAGATGTCACGGTGATATCACCGGGGAATGTCACCGTGACATCAGGAAAATGTCAAAATGTCCGCCTTACGGTGATATCACACGGTGACATCGAGGTGATATCATGGTGATATCACCGTGATATCATTTTGATATTTTACAGGGACTTAAAATTTTTAATAATTTAAAAAATAATAATAAATAAAAAAAATAATAATTTTTAAAAAATTTTAAATCCCTGTAAAATATCAACATGATATCACCTCGATGTCACCGTGTGATATCACCGTAAGGCGGACATTTTGACATTCCCCGGTGATATCACCGTTACATCTGGTTGATATATCGTGCTACTTAGAGTAACACTAAATTGTGTATATTATTGAAAATTTTGAAAATATAAACGCTTTCTGATAGGTGTTCATGGCTGCCATATTCCATAATTTCATGGAATTCAGTCATAGTCTACTTTAAATTTAAATAATTACATTAATAATTAACGAAATGCACATTTTCTTGGCTATTTCATCAAGTAAGATGTAGAATAATTTTTGCAGTCATTTTGAACAAATCATATATTCATAAATGATAAATAATATTATATAAAAACTGCAGCAATTGGTACACCCGCAGGAATAGCCACAGTTACCCTATATAGTCTAATATTTTAAAAAAGATTTATATACTGATATTAATTAGAGAGCTGAGAATTAAAAGTGTACTAGTATCCTAATAAAATTTTTTTGTTTCTTACAGTATAAATTTTGATTGATTTATTTCACATTTAATAAAACAATTAGCTGTTTACATTAAAATATTAGTCAAGTATCAAAATAATCTATCTAAGTGTACCAAAATTCTGACTGGTAAAATAAGCTGATGAAATGCAAACGAAAAACACCTGCTAAAGTTAAAAAATTTGGTTAAGTCACTGAAACAGTATTTTTTCTAATCCCCTTCTCGTCAAATTAAACATTAGATAAGGTAGTTTTAAAAATCTTCTTGTTGCGCCACTTAAATGTGATCTAAATTCTGTATAAATAGGTGCAGTTTAGTCATAGGTCTATATTATTTAAAATGAAACTTATTTGAAAAATAATGACTACATATGTGATAGCTGCCATTTGTCGTATTTAGTTAATTTGCTTGATATCTTTATATTAAAATGAAATTTATACTCTTTCTCGTTTTTGTCTCAACATTTATAAATGTATCCATCAGCACCGATGGTATGTGTATTTATTTTTATTAGCAATATAATTGAAATCGAAATTTTTTTTTCAGTAACAAGTGCGTCAAAAACTCGAATAAAGTTCCGTTTTTCTCGCACTAGTGCGAGAAAAGAGGGGAAATCATATCTTTAAGCATAGTTCACTGTTCGTCGCGATTCTTTAAAAAGGTCTGCCAACTTCATATGAACAATTATTACTATGTAGCCAGACATGGTAATTTCGCGCATGCGTCATTGCGGTGTAAGAGAGGGAACGCTGTGAACAAGCAAGTAAACACTGACAGGCTTGGTACTAACCTCAAAGTTAACATAAAATTTTACAAAAATCATGGCTTTCTTGTAAATGTAAGTAAATTTAATTAATATTTTGAGTTTGGTTTTTTTTAGTAAAAATTGAACCGAACCCCCGCTTACGCGATTCACGAGGGATCTCTTTTACAGAAAATAGGGGAATCTCGACTCGTGCGGCAAACCTCAAGCGAGTCTCGATTCCCCTACTTTTCCGCCCTTGTCACAAATAAATATTATCATACACAATAACTTGAAGAAGTTTCAACGAATTTCAGTAAAATTTGGTAGGTTTATTTGATACATAAAAATCGCAAAATGGACAAATGTATTTCAGAAAATACCTTCAGAAAATTTGTTTAGTCTCTTCTTTACAAACATTTATATTTATCAAAAATATTTTTATAAGTGGTGAACGGAAGTTTATATATTATAATTAAATTTTCTTCCTTGTCTCGAGAGGAATCGATTGACCTAAATTTAGTATAACATATTTTATTTGAAATTTTTTTAATTAATCACAATTAAAAAATCAAAAATGCACTTTTTTCATTCTGTAATTTCAACTTTACATACAATAGAATTGTATTCCTTGCTCCAAAACAAATTGATTAATCTATACATAAAATAGAAATTTACCTAAGAATTTCAGAATTAGTCGCAATTTTTAATATGTCGTCTTTTTTTCTTTCTGTTAAAAAAGTGACATTTTATAAATATTATTTAAAAAAAGTATTATTTTTGTGCTTCTGAACATGAATAATTATTTTTGTGAATTTTAATTTTATTATGTGAAAATTAATATATTACAATAATTGTGTGGGAATCCTGTGTTTTGAAGAATTCATAGATATCTGATAATCGAGAATTAAAAATTTTAAATAAATAATGGACACCATTTTTTAAACTTTGCTTGTTTCTCTTGCATTTTTTATCGCCGTTGTAGTAGAGTCAAAGGCAACTGAGTAAGGGTCCTTTTTTTCTATTTTTCAAATGAACTTGAGCAATTTTCAGAAAATCGGAACGATCTAATTGACCGTAGGCAATCGAGAGCATTTGTAGTGCCATTTCTTTAACTTGTTCCACACCGCTGGAAAAAAGATCATGCCCTAATTCTAAACAAGTTCCAAAATCACATTCATCAGCCGCTATTGTCGCCCAACGTACAACTTCTTGCAATTCTGTCATTCCTGAATTTTTCTCAGGATCGCCTTTTGCGTCTTCGATTTTCTTGAACATTTTCTGTAAATCAGCTGCAAATAAAAATTTATTATATATTTATTACTTTTCAAATTCAATTCCGTAATTGAAAAAAAGAAATGAGTAATTTATTTTTTTTTTAAATTAAAATCAATTACAATTTCAGTAGATACATTACTAAAATTCATTAGATTATTACTTTTTTTCTATAATTATTCATTATCATAGTATGAAAATTTTTCAACGTTTTGTTTTCAACTACTGAAAAAATGTTAACTCGTTAATATATAATAAATTTATATTCTTTAAAGGAGAATTTTAAGAAATATACAAAAAAAAATGTTACCTTCGGTAGTTGACAATTTTCTATAACCAACTTGTGTTATTCTATTGAAAGGAACAACTATTCCGGCGCCATGTAAAGTTCTTGCAAGGACCTTTTTTTCTCTCTCCTTCATTCCCGAAGTGTGTTTATCTAAAGTAATGTTTCGCTCCTTCGCAAAAAATTTTAATTTCTGATGAAGACGAGCAATTGTCGTTTTCTCAAACGGATTCGCCAATTTTGTTCTTTCTTCGAGATATGAACTGCAATAGAAACAAAGAAGAAAATGAGCAGTAAATATATTTTAAATACACTCATTAATTATGTAATTAAATTTTATAATAAATAGCAATTGATTATTTTTTCTGGACTTAACAATTATTATAATCACAATAATATGTAATTCTATTAAAAAATAGAAAATTCATTTTTAATTTTATATAATTGATTATTCTTGATAATTGAATTAGAAATTCTTTTGTGTTTAACGAATTTTTTTCACAGTTAATTGATTATTTTTTAAATTAAATATATCAAAACGTACTCTAAAGCACCGAATAAATTTTCCGCGATTGGAACAATTTTACAAGAAACGTTGGCATTATTTTTCGCAACGAAAATCGGCATTTTATCGGGATCGTCCCTCCAATATCCAAAGTGCAATTCATCCTTGTCGTTTCCTTTTAAAATTGTCTGGAAAAAATTTGGAAAGAAAAAGAATTGATAATTAAAAAATATTACTTATCTTCAAAATTAAAAAATAAATAATGAAAAAATTTATTTTCTGTACGAATTTAATAAAAAAAATAATCATTAAAAAATAAACAAAAAAATTATGATTAATTACCTGAAATTCTGGAGGATCGTAAAAATACCTCCAATGTTTTAAATAATTATCCTCTTCTTGAATCTCAAAAAGTTGATCACTCATAATATCAAAGGGGCCCACGAGTTTTAAGTGAACAATTTTAAATGCCGAAGCAGGATCAATTTTAGAATTTTCCTTACAAAATTCATAAAATTGATAAAAATCTTTTGGCATTTCGGTGAGAAATAATTTCTTAATTGTTCGTTTTTTATCATCCAGTGTTAAATTTTGAATTTTCCTTGTTTTTCTCATATTCACAGAAATTGTTACCGCTACAATTTCTTTTTCTGGCGAAGGAGATATTCTATCTTCATTATTAAATTTTTTATGGTAAATCTTTTCAGATTCTCCTTTTTGCGGCGATGATGATGTTTCAGATATAGGCTCATCACTTTGATTTTGCTTTTTATCTCGATGAGTCGCCTGTGGCGAAGTCGGTGACGTTTTCGAATTATTTACCACGTCCTCAGCTTTTCTTTTTGTTGCTTTTTGCTTCATGTGCTTCTTGTTTTTGTGCTTAAAAATTTGTTTGAAAATTTATTTTACTGTTAAAATAAAAATAATTTTATTTCATTTAATATTTATAAAATAAATAATATAATAATTTAATTATTTTTATAAAGTACTTAATCTATAAATTTAAAAATTTAATAATTTAACTTTTTAAAGAATTATTTAATAATAGGTATATTTTAAAGTTTTAATATTCAGTTCATTTTCAATAATAAATTTTTAACCTATTTTAATATTATATAATAATAATAATTGATGTGTATAGGTATAAATGTACTGAAAAAGAACAGCTTGTTTATGATTTAAAATAAACAAATAATTTACTACATGCTTTCGCACTGATAATGACAAAAAAACCTTCCATTTGCACATATTTAATTGTTGATATACTTATAACGATTTTTTATTCATTCCCAATAAATGAAAAAAATTCGTAACGACAATTTTGAGGTTAGGAAATTCAAATATTATAAAAAGGGGAAAATAACACAAGAAAATCAAATTAAATTGTCGCAAATGTAGAAAAGTCAAAAATACATTGCATAACAATGAAAACAAATGAATTACTATATTAAGAAATGTAAAAACAATTAAGAATCTTACTTGTTTGGTTTCTGGTGGATGTTTATATTTATTATGATGTATCGGATTTTTTTGATAACATTTAACTCCATATTGACAGGGAATACGTAGATCTTTTATATACTCATTATATTCCTCATCATCACTTTCTTTAGACATTTTACTAAATTAATTTTTCTCTTAGGTACAATAAACACATGCAAATGCAAAATTTACTGCCAGTACCAGTACCAGCAGTAGTATAGTTGAGGTTTTAATAGCGGAAAAATTTAAATTTTAATATTTACTAATTGGTGGAAGAAACTCAAACAAAAGGCAAAAAAAATTATCACAGAGAAAATGAAATTGTAAAATATTTTTAATTCTTAGATGATAATATTATTAATATAATTTAATAAATAATTTGCCACACATTTTTATATATGGATTCCTTGATATTGATTTAAAAAAAAATAATAAAATTGCGCTATCTATCGATGGAGAAAGAAACTAATCATAGCAGTTAACAACACGAGGAAAAAAAGTGGTCAAGGGTTCTGGATTCTATCGAAAATTTATAAAATTTAACTGTTTAAATCTAATTGTTCAGTTAAATAAGATTCTATTAAAATAATGTTTCTCAGAAAGGTTTAGTATTTTTAATATTTGAATTAATTATTTTATCACTTTTATTTGATTTTATTGGTAATTTAAAAATATATACATTTTTAGGTTATGTCTAGCACTACCAGACAAATCAGGCAAATTCAACAAATTAAAAGGATAAGTGGGACGAGATTGTTTTCAGAAATGGCTGAAACTGCACCTGAAATCGAACAGGAATCTCAGAAAATAGAAAAAAGTAAATTCTCTCTCTGGCTTATTATGTATTTGAATAAATAATAACTGAATGTATTTCCTGTTTTACTGAATAGAAGCAGGAAATTTTGCTTACGAATTATTGAAGGAAAAGAAATTAATATTAGATTAATAATTAATTAATTAATAATAATAATATAATATTTATTAAGAACCTTTTTTTTACTTTACTAAAAGTCTTTTACTCTTTTAACACACGTTGTAAAGACGGAAAATTCAAAAATTTAAATAATAACTTGTGTAAAAATCTTTAATAACAAAGTTTGTCAAGATATTTGATTCAATTAAACTTTTACTTATAATGTACATTAATTTTTTAGGCATGAATCAAGTAACATTGCTTGGAAGAGTTGGAGGTGAACCACAAAAAAGGGGCAATGATAATCATCCAGTTGTTACATTTTCAGTAGCTACACATACAAATTACAAATATGATGATGGTTTGTATTTTTTTAAATTAATCATTTTTCTCAAAAATTTTTTTGTAAAATTTATTTATTTTTGTTACTGATTATAATTTAGAACCGTTTAGTTACAATAATAATTATTATTCTTAATGATAAAGAAGATATTTGTAATCTATTCAATTTCTTTTAAAACTAAAAAAAATTATGAAAATTGAAATTTTTTTTTAGGTAATGTAGTGCAAAGAACAGATTGGCACAAAATTGTCGTTTTTCGTCCCGCGTTACGGGAATCTGTTTATCGTTTTATGAGAAAAGGACAAAGAGTTCTAGTTCAAGGAAAGCTCTATTATGGAGAAATTAAAGACGAAAATGGTAAAATACGACCGACAACTTCAATTATTGCCGAAGATGTCGTTATGTTCCAGAGAAAAGACGAAGATGTAGATTAGAATATTTTATTCACAACAATATTTGTACAATATTTAAGAATTTTTTTTATCAACTTTTTTAAAGAATAAAACATATTGAAAGGTAAAATTATTTTGGGTACCAAATAAAACATGTCCTTTTTTACAAACAAAAAATATATACAGTAGACTGTAAAAATTAAGGAAAATAAAAAAAGTATTGTAAATGAAACTTATATTATTCATTTAAAAAATATCGAATAACAAAATAATTTATTTTTCAAAATTGAAATATTTATAAAAGCAAAAGTAATTTGAAATTGATGTCTTAATTTGTTTAAACATTATTTTAAAAATTAGTTAAGCAGTTTATCCTTCAAATCATAAATCAAGTCAGGTTTATAAAACTACTTGCATTTTAACCTTTAATTTCGTTCTCGGAAGTAAATTTTTCAATTTGAATAAACTTAAAAAGTAACTCGTTCTCCAACGTTAAATCTTAATAGGGTATAGAAGAAGATCTAACTTGAATAATTAAACAAAAATTAGACTTTTATTTATCGCCAGAGGATATATTAATGTTAAAATTGCCCAAAATTTCTCAAATTTGAAATATTTAAAGTAAATTTTTTTCATATTTTAGAAAATAAAATTAAAAAGTCAGCGCACCATATGAAAGTATTTAATATTAAGTCATTATTAATTTATTACTTCAAAATATTTACAAACTTTCGAAAAAATTGTAATTGAAATATAAATTTTCCCATTTAACAGGTAAGTTTAATAGTCAATTTTCACCTAATATTTTTGACTTTTTTACACACTAATCAATTATTATAAGTTAAATAGACTATTTTAAACAATTGTCAATAAATACATTTATATTATCTAAATTATTTCTCTGCTTTTTCCTTAAGGGTACACTCCAGTTCAAAATGGGGAAAAAGAAGGCTTTTTTAGGATGTATTTCTAAAAAAACCATGACATTTATTCAGAAATTTTTGTTTACATGTTATAAATAACTTATTGAAGAATATGAAAAAAAATTTTTTTTTACTTGTAGTCCAAGATGGCGGCGATGTACAACATTTTAAAAAAAAATAAAAAACATTTTCTTCGTTAGATATTTCTCTATGGATGGAACCTCAAAAACTAGAAAATTTCTTTTTCTCTTTTTTTCTATAACAGAAATTCTGAATAAAAACATGTTTTTTTTCAAGTTTTGGGAAAAATGTACTCTAAAAAAAAGAAGGGGACGAAAATTCCACTTTTTTGTGGTTCCATCCATAGAGAAATATCTAACGAAGATTTATTATTTTTGAAAATGTTGTACATCGCCGCCATCTTATTGGACTACAAGTGAAAAAAATTTTTTTTTTCATATTCTTTAATAAGTTATTTATAACATGTAAACAAAAATTTCTGAATAAATGTCATGGTTTTTTTAGAAATACATCTTAAAAAAGCCTTCTTTTTCCCCATTTTCAACTGGAATGTCCCCTTAAATTTCTATGGCTTTCAAAATAACCTTTTTACCGTGCGACTCAATTTAAAAATTAATATTCCAAAAAATAATGCCCAAAAATTTGTTTTACAAATATTAAAAATCATTATTACAAAGTAACAGATTTTTCTAAAAATATGCCGCAACGTCTTAGGGCGAAATATAATGGACTCATAAATAAAATTTTAATTTCAAAAATAATTTTTAATGTTTTGAAATGTATATATAAAGGATAACAAAACTATTGCATTTTAATAAGTAAATAAGTCTATATTTACAAGGTTCATCATTTTTCTGTCCATAACAAATTATACATAATAAAATGGCATTAATGCTATAATTTTACAAGTGTTATACCTTTTTTTTCTTTTTTAATTATTTTACACAATTTGTCTTATTAGCTATATATATATATAGCTCTTTCGATATCTCTTACAATTTATTTCTTTCTATCGTCTTTCTCATACAATCTTTGAATTTGTTTCCATTTTTATTTTTTTATTTATTTTTTCTAATTTATTTTTATTAAATTTACTTAACCAGCAATTATTTAAATTTTTTCTTCATATATACCGCCTGCCAAATATATATATATAAATTATTTACAATGTATCCAAACGAAAAATTAAAGATATATATTTATTTATTTTTTATATATATATATACGTCTAACGCCTCAAATATCATCTTATAAAACAAAAAAACAAAAAAAACAAAAAAAAAAAACAAAAGAAATTTGGGAATCTCTAACCCCTTAATCAATTCTCAAATTATTTGTTTCTAATTTTTACAGAGATCACAGTATATAAGATGCCAGATACAGATTTTTTTCTATTGTACTCGTTTGTATCTCATCTTTTTCTCTTTCACTCTCCACTAATTTTTTATTCTCTTTTTTTTTGTGAATTAAAAAAAGAAAAATTTGCGTATAAAAATAGGCGAATTTTTTTCAAACATTATTTGTCCCAAGATTTCTTAAAAATTTTTTTAATCGCAAATTTTTTTAGTAATTTTTTGTTATTGAAAATAGAGAGAACGAACAAGAGTGAAAGATCGGTCGCGGAATGTAAGCCACAATCGCACCACCAACAACTTAGAAATTTCGAATATAAATTTTGGTATTAAAATATATATATATTTATATATATATGAACTTTTTTTCGTATATAAATTTGAACTCTGGCCCCGGATTTCCTTAAAATTTTTCATTTTGTCTCCTCCTTATTTATCATTTTTTATGTACCTAGTTCTTTGCAAATAGAATTTTTTTTAAACGTTTGTTTATTATAATTATAATATTGTATTTCTCGACGGTTTACAAAACAATAGTACATACATAGCTTATTTACAGTAGAGATCTTAATAAAGTATAGTCGATTACAAAGGTGCACCGTTTCTTTCTTTTTTCATAATAACGACCACATTTTTCGGTTTTTTATTTTTATATTTTGTATACCTATATCAAGTATTGTTCTTGGCACAGATTGTTTATTTTTCTTCCTTTTTTTGAAGCAAGATACTTTTTCTTTTCTTTATTTTCCTCTTTAAAAAAAGCCTTTCGGTAAAATTTTTACACTTTTTCTGACGATTAATCACAGGGCTTAAAAAATAACGATCGGAATTGTAATTTACTTTAAAAGTGGGAAAAAATTTAAAAATGTAGAGAAGAAACACAATTTGCTAAAAATTTTGTTACACTTGATAAATTGTTTACAAATTTTTATTTCTACAAATATTTTTTTTCGTTTTAAATTTTCTAATTTAAAAAAATATATTTTCTTTGACAAAATTTAAATTCACTTCAAAATAATGATTTACGAAATTATTTCAAAGTTTTGATAATTGATTTGACATTTTTATTAAAAATTCTAATTCCGATGCGTTTTACAAAAAATATAATATTCGTCTCTCCCGCTTCTATATACTTAAATTATAATTAGAATCATATACATTCATAATTTATTTTAGATTTGCAATTGTGCATAAATTTTTTGTTGTCCCTTCTTTTGTCAGACCGTTTTTCGTTGCACAAATTTATTTATTTATTTAAACGAAGAAGATAAATCTTCAGCGATGCGAATTAAAAAACAATTCAAGAGCGAAAAGAAACTCTGGCGTGACATTTTCATTATTATTATTATTATCATTATTTTCTTTTATTTTTGGGACCCGATGTCCCCGAAAAGTTTCGTGAGCATTGCACATTATTTGTATATTATTATTATTATTATTCTTTTTTCCAATATCGGCTAAGAAGATTCTTCAAGAAATTGAGAATTCGAATTTCTTTGATTTTCTTTTGTTGCATTTTCAATTATAGAAAAATTGAGAATTTAATACGAACTTAATTCACGACTTTCGCTACGAGATGAAAATTATTTTTTTTTAATTAATTTTTTTTATTCTTTAACAAATGATTTTTCAATTTTATGAAACAAGAAAAATAAAACATTTTTATATTTTTTTATATGGAAAATTCTATTAGAGTCGTTGAAATTCGAACATTCTTTCTCTCTTTCTAAACTTCTCAGGCGTCTCGAAGTTTTCCACCTTGGACGCTGGAAGATCAGTCTTGACTCCCAAAAAAAAAAAAAAAAAAACAAAAAAACAAAACAAAACGAAAAAAAGACTTTCAAGACCCGATTAAGGCCGAAGTATGACATTTTTCCCTCTCATTCTCTTGAAATTATTTCCGAAAATTTGCGATGAATTAATTTCGGAGGCAAAATAGGAGAATATTTATTTTTCTTTGTTTTTTAAATAGTGGAAAAATATTCGTCAGCCACAGAGTGAACAATTACAATGCACTCGACGATTCGTGTGCGGAGATTTTATTCTCTGTGTACTGCTAACTCCCGCGTCACTTCCTGTCTTCCGGCTCCTGATTAGTTTTAACGAGATTGTACGCGTGACTTCGATACTTGGCTGGAGGGTCGTGGAGAGGAAGAGGCTGTTCATTCGATTGTTGTTGATTTATGCCCGAAGGTTGGCTCATACTCGACATGGAGAGATCCGTTGGCATATCCATCTCAGGCTCCATTCCATTTCCCGTGAGTGCGCCTTCTTCCTCGGGCTCTGATTTTATTCGCATTTGCTGGCGTAACAACGAAATATTTTTGATATTCTTTAATTCCGTTGGATTGCGTAGAAATCTTGAAAAAAAATTATAATTTAGAAAAAATTAATTTTACATTAAAAGTATAGAATGAAAATTTGTTTTCTTTTATAATTTTGCAGAAAATCTTCTTAACTTATTGAATTATTTATTTCAAATACTCACTGGTAGCAGTGGCGTTCTCCTTGCACCTTTCTGAGAATATTGACACGATAATAGTATCTTAATGCTCGGCTCATTTTGTCATAATTCATGGATAAATGATTCTTCTGAATTCCCCAAAGCCTCGCGAGACCCGGTGGATCGACAATTTTAAAAACACCCGTCTCTCGACTTTTCCATGCAATATAATGTGTGTATCTTTGTGATGGGTCGTTTAACAATTGTTGTAAAAAGTCCCACAACAATCTTCCATCTGCAAAGAAAGGAATTAAATTTTTCTGAACCGATGTAATAAAATAAAGAACAATTTACTTCAAAATTTGACATTTTTGGAAAAAAATTTTTAATTTAGAATAACATTCAAAATAATACTGAGAATATAATGAGATAATATTTTGGAAAATTATTTTAAAATGGATGTTGGTAAGTGACACTTGATTAACTCAGACATTAGATTAATATGGAATTAAGATTGATTATATTGGATCGTGATTTATCTGCTTAAAATAAAATTAATGCCAAGATATGTGATGTATAAGGTATTATTAATATGCATTAAATTCAAGTTTTCAAATTTTTAATAGATTTTATTTAATTTGTCTCTTTTTTTATTAAAAATTCGCTTATTTATCATATAGTTTTATGGGTTTCTGAAAACACTTAAAAAAACTTTTTAACTTTTTCAGCCTCTCTCATCTGATTATTTGTTTTGGGGCTAAAATAAATTAAATAAATTTGTCTCCATACAAATAATAAGAAATTTTGAAAATAGGTAAAGGTCGATTATCTGGATAATTATTAAGAACGCAAGAATAAGTCCTAAAATTCATTGGTTAGAATTTTCATTTAGTCTTATTATTATTTTTGTGAATTTATGTTTAACAAAATTTTATATTAGATCAAATTTTTATTTGTACTAATTGTTAAAATGAAAATTCGACTTTATAATAATTTAATGATTCAGTCAAATGAAAGTAAATAAAACTTTGGTAGAAATCGTATATTAAATGAAAATATATAATATATATTGGAATATTAAAAAACTTGTTACTCCTCAAAAAGGGAATTTTTTCTTTGTTTGCTTTATACTCACTGGTATTGGGCTCAGGTGAGTCACTGGGAAAAAATTCCCGTGCAACATTGCCCGCGGGTCTAAATGCGCCCGGGGTCAGTGGCATCATTTGCGGTGGTAATGTGGGACTTGGTTGATCCTTGACGCACACCTCGCTCAATCGTTGAGCGGTGAGCGCGGTTGGCGTCGCCGGTGGACTACTGCTACCCTGATGATTGTCCTCGTCCGAATCACTTTTATAGTGCTGCATTTGATTGCAATTTTCCGCGTGACCTGGTGAACCGGCTTGACTGTCGACTGAAGGTGCTGGCGACAATGTCACTGAATTTGCCGACATAAGTGAGGCAAAATTTGCCGCATAAGGATTATCAACCCACGTGGGCGTCGGTGGATGTGAATGTGGACTCAATGGATAGGCGGCTGAGGGTCGAGTCGGTGTCACGGGACTACTCGGCAAGCATCTCTGATTATATTCCCGAGTCAACATTGTCAACACATTGTGAATGACATCACCTGCACCAGGACAACGATCGCCGAGGTCTGATTTTGTCAATAGACACAGTGCCTTGCCATTCATTTGAAACATGTCCATGTCAATTATTGGCAAATCAAATTCCCTTTCGGCCCAACGTAAAAATGTCGCCACATCGTCACGTGACCAACATCTCGGATCTGGTGCTGAAAGTTTTACAAAAACAACAAATTAGTACTCGGATCGATTAATTGAAAAATTTATGAATTAATAATAATTATTCATACATTTTTTAAGAGGTGCATGTATAATTTTCTCAATTATTTTCCAGTTTTTGTATATTATTAATTACATAAAAACAAATTTCCATCCATATGAAACAATCTCTTGAATTTTGCTTGAAAATATATATTATTGCAGAAAATTAAAAACGTATTGTTAAATAATATATAATATATATATATTTTTTTTTCTAAAAAATATATAAACATAACCTAAAATTTACACGAACATTTAAGCTTTTTCTATAGACCTAAGATGAATAGCTTCGCGAAAGACGTTCGCGAACGTGAAACATGAGTTAGAAAAGGACAGAGATATATTCGTATCCTTTTTCTATCTCATGCATCTCGTTCGCGAACGACTTTCGCGAATCTATTGTGCGTTGGCCTTATAGTATATAATAATTCTCTATGATCACTGATCAACTGTTTTCTTCCGGTTTTAAAGAGATATTAAAAATTCCTCATTAGATTATTATAATTGAATCTGTGATAGATTTTTTTATGCAATTAATTATAATGTACTAATTTGTTAATTTTCAACAATATTTGTTTGACGTTTTATTTTCCAATTATTAGTTTTATTTTGGGACTATCTTCCCATTTTGAGTCTACCGGAAACCGAAAGTAATAAACAGAAAACTTTTCCAAATAACTATGAGAGTCAAAAGACATTTTGATTATCGGAAAAAATTTTAATTACTTTTTAAAATTGCAAACAATTCAAAATTTTTAATGAAATAAGAAAAATTATTATAAATAATTATAAACATTCGAGATAAAAAAATAGATTTTTTTGTATCAAGTAGTGCTCTGCTTAATGCTAATTGTGTCCAATTGTGTCATCAGTGCGGCGACCTTTGTGTTTTGCTTTATCGAAAATTGAAACAAATTGAATTAGTGTCACAAATTTTAAGTACCGGGTAATAATTAGTTTTCATTGATAGAGTCGTAAAAAATGCATGAACAAAATACATTTAGAAAAATACCTATCATGTTCAACAAATTTATTTGTTTTTCTTCCCTCCCCCTTTCATCAAGCTCCGCCATTTTGATTTCGAAGAAACACGACAAGCTAGTGATTTTTTTCAGTGTTGTTGTTATTCCATTTACATGTTTTCACAATCATTCACAATATTTAAAAAACATTTAGTAACTTATTTCGCGATTCCCACAGTTACAAAATGTCCTACAATCAAATCGTATAAATAATTAGGCGAAATGGTGTGTTTTTTTGTTTTGACGTGGATGCGTCCTGAGTGGAATTCAAAGTTCATCTAAAAATCTATATCACGTGTGAAATTATCGTTAAAAATTCTTGCCAAAAAAAGAAATACCATACAAAATTTTTGCCGTATTGAAAATAAATTAAATTAATTAAAGTCGCAAAACCTAACCTAAAAAAAATTATTATTCGCTTTCCGGCTTTCTTGTTTCGCGGTGCAATAAAAATCATCATAGTTTCATAGTCTTGTTTTATTTACTTTTCTTGTAAAAATTATACAGCCGTGACTATTGGAAATTTAGACAAAAAAGTTTGAGCACTCAATTTCAAATCAACATTTGTACCTGTAAATGAAAATAATAATCAGCTGTTCGCCTATTCAACGGAGCAAGTGAGTTGAAATATTTACTTCCAATTTCATTTAATTTCTCTTTTTTCTTCATTTTCTGTGTGTATAAATTTATAATTATTATATGTATTTTTACATGTAACAGAGAAATTATCTTATGATTATCTGACATTTTGTAAATTTAATAATTCGTTATCACTTATCAATTAGTTAAATTTTTGGGCGCACGAAGAAAAATAAAATTATCGTGAATAAAATTTTTAAAAAATCCTTACACAAACTGGAAGGTAGATGATTTTTAAAGTCCAAAAGTGGACTCGGTGGCGGATGTGCGGTTTGCGGGAAGGTCATGGCTGGTCCATATCTCCATAGGAGATCTGTAGGACTAAAGGGTAATGATATTCCCGGAGGAAGACGTGAATCCATCGCCATTCCGCCTGCGGCAGAAACTGGCGGTAGCTGCGGCAACTGAATTGTCGGCAGTAATTTCATAACACGTCCTCGGCTCGACTGAATGTCTGTAACAAAAAAGAAATCCCAAACACTGCAATTAATTTTCATTATACCCCATAATTACATTTATCAAAAGTGAATTGGTAAATGTGCACTTAAAAATTTAAATTATCAAGTTGAACTAACTTTTGATTTGATTAGTTATTTCATTTCTCCTTAATAAAAATTTTTTAAAATTTCATTTTTAATACAGAAATATTGAACAATCTTTAGTTTATTAAACTTATAACTCATCGTCATTGTCAAAGTTCGAAGAGTGGGAAAATTTTAGCAATTTGTTAGTGCTTGAGGGATGACTGTATAATATACTTATCTATAGACATATATAATTCAATTTAACGAGAATGGAATCTATATATTAAAATATATAATTATAATACAAGAAAAAAGAATGTGATGGTTTTAATCATTAAACTTATATATATATATATACATATTTAGAAAGACAGAGAGAGAATATTGTTTCTTGAATTCAAGCACACTTATATATATATTTTTTTTTTAAATATTCGTGTGGAAAAATATCACGGTTTTTTTATTTGTTTCTGCTGTTTCTCCTCGATAATAGTTAATCAACGATTCTCGAGCGGAAGCGAGTTCGACGCCGATGGAAATACGTTATGTAAATCCAAGCCTGAGGAACGGATACCTTCTTCCTGCCCAGTACACCCTACTAAACTTTTTTATTCTTGTAAGACTTGTGCATTCTATGCTAATCTTTGACTCTTCAAAGTACCGTGTTTTTCAAAGAAACTCTCTTGACTCGCATATATGTACTTTTACAATATAAAAGTATTATATATTTAATGTAAAATTTTAAACATTTTCAATTTTCTAAATATATCATTCAAAAATTATTAATCTATTAAAGATTTATTATCTACTTTTGTATTTAAAAATAATACACTAATTATGAATTATTTTGCGCCTATTATGTTTATATTAACCTCCACTATACCTATAATTCAGTTGAAAAGAAATTATATGTTCAACACAATCATAGAAGGTTGAATCGCGCATTTAAAAGTTATGAAGAAACTAAATTTACCTATACTAAATAGACGATGCTGAAGTACACAACGTTTATGATCAACGATGAGAAATTATTTTTTATTTAATACCAAAAATTACCAAATAGTTTATTTAAAAAAATATTTTTTTATAATTTGTTGATTAAAAACACTACAAGAAATATTTTTCAAACAAAAATTTATAAAATTTTTCACTCTAAAAAATTATTTCTTTAAAAATTGTTTATCGAATAAACGTTGCGTACTTCAGCATCGTCTAAATAATATGTAGTAAAAATTTCAACTTTTTCAGTCAAAAATTCTTAAATTTTAGAAAAAGGGACAATTTTTTCATAAAATTCAGTATTTTTTTGGTGATAACACTGTTAACTAGTTAAAAATTATATTCATTTCACCAACATTTTTTGTTTCCTCACTTGTTTTTAATGCAAGGTATACAACTTTGACAAGAATTAATCACACTTTCTAAATAGAAAAAAGTCATTTTAAGAAAATAAAGAATTCAAACTTGCAATACAGATTTGCACTTTAGATAAAAATCAGTCTACGTAATTTATTTTTGAAAAATTTTAAATTGTCACAAATACAAAGCTTCCTCTGTGATTAAACTAAATCCTCGACTACATCAATTCAAATCGCAAATTCACTACATCTTTCTCAGAATTGACCTATGCATATAAGTTTAAAAATATTGTAAAACTTTAGGAAGAGAATAAGTTTTTTTTCGTAAATTTAGCGTTTTTTTTGTTGATAACGCTATTGAGGTCGATTTCAATCAGATACACTAGTTTTCCTATAATCTACTTGTCGAACTTATTTACAAAAAAATAGAAGTAAATAAATATAAATATGTAGTGAATTCTCGATTTAGTACATTTTTATATTTAAAGACGTTTAATCAAGTGATTGAGAAAAGAAATGTAGGGGGAGGGGGGGGGTTGAGAGAGAGAGAGAGAGAGAGAGAGAGAGAGAGAGAGATATGGTGATTTCCTAGTGTAAGAGAACAGTGCGAGAGACAACGGCACATCGACCTTCGCGTGCCGCGAGTTTACCTCCTACCACCACACGACAAAATTTTTTTTTCTCTCTTTTCAACTTGAGTGTAACTACGCAGTCACTTCTATATAAATTCTCTCTCATCGACTTCTTATATATAAGATACTATATAAATACAATATATATGTATTTCTTTTGTTTTCTCGTGAGGAGAGTTGCTTCCACGTGAAGATTGTCCGCCAACCGGAACGACCTCACACACACATTCCACTTCCGCTTCCAGGCGCGCGAAAGAGGAAGTCATTCTCGCGGTCGCCCGGAAGTAACTCTCGGAGAAAAATATAGTTGACCTTACAAATTATTTTTGCCTTTTCCTATCTTATATTCTTTAGTTTAGTGTTTTGCTTGTTTTTCTCTTTTTTTGTTAGAGAAATGATTATTTCAACTCTTGTTATCTATTATCAAAATTAAAATAGATTCTTATCAATTTAAAAAGGCTTTTATGCGTCGAGGTGTAGTTATAATTTATCAGAAAAAAAAATGCTGGCACTTTTCTTGGTTTATATATACAACGTATTACGTATATTAACGAAATTGTTCTTTATTTGATCCATTTTTATATCCTATATAATTTTGTTTAAATTATTATATCTTCAAGCAGTTAATAAAAATAAGTTTTGGAAATCTATTATTATGTTGATTAATAATTGATTTAAATTGTCGAATTAATTTATGCTTGTTTGGTATATTTTTGATTCGTGTTTTACATATTATTTTAGGCACATTTATTCTAATTTAATTGGAATATTAAATTTTCAATTTCTTTTATATACTAAAACTATTTTAATTATAATTTTTAATTAAAGAAGAAGAAGATAAATAAATCTCGCAAACCTCAAATTTACTAATAATATGTAACTCGAAAAATTAGTTCTATAAATCAATCTGAATAGCCTGAAATGAAGTTTAATTCAGCCCATCTTTTATTTTACTTATCATATTTAATTATTTCATTAAATGAGAAAAATTCTTCTTGCAAATAGTTTTTTTTAAAGAAAGCCAAATGAATGTAAAAGAGATGTGGCAAAAATAGTATATGTTGAATTATTGAATGCGCACTATTTTAAAATTATTTTTAAAAAAACGAGTGATAAATGAATAAACAGTATCGTTGAATGTCTTTGGATGTCCGCGCATATAATCGGTGAAGCGGAAGTTAAAAAGGAAGGCCTCGACGACCTCGCAGCCATCTCTTCGAGCCACTTCGAATAGCTCGACGCCTTTCTTTGGCGAGAATTCTCTCTCTTAATGTCAGAGGTTCGTTAATGCCTTATTCATACATATAGGCGGTGAACGTTACATAATGCATATCAGGAAACCGCATGTGCCTTCGGGCCTACGTAAGCCGCGCTTTGAAACACGCGTAACGCCTTCGCCTATCTATATATCTTCCCCCTCCATCTCTCTCTTTTTTCTGTTTTCCTTCGTGAATAAATTTCGACAAATTTTCTACACTTGCACAAGTGATGCCGGAATCCAATTAATTTCCATCCGCGAATAATCGTTGACTCGATATTAAATGGAAAATTATATTAATATTGATTAACACATACTTAAGATATATTTCCTGGCATGAATTAATAATGTTTGATTGTGAAACGAATTGCATTTTTCATTATATTATTTTTGACTAATTCTGCTAGTAAAATTTACACATGTAAAACGAAAACGCAGGTATGACGTGACAACTATGTATTTCTAAATTCAAAATATTAAAAGCTACCATATTTGATAAACACTGGCATATGGAATATATTTATCAATTTATCGATATTTATTTAATAGACGAAGACATTTTTTCGTTTATTGAAAAACTAAATGGAATATTTGTGGGTTAATTTGAATTTCTTTTACTTCTACACTGAGAGACCTCTTGCACCGCATCAGAACTACGTGTGTGACTGCAGCGCCACTATAGGTTTTGGTGCGCTGCATTCTAAATTTTGTATCGTGACTGCCCAAAACTTAAAATGAACCTTTCGGCCGTCCATTTTTTGGACAGTTACGCTCCAAAAATTCATAGCTGACCGCTAGAATGCTCCGCAGACGGTGCAAAAGGTCTCTCAGTGTAGTAATGTAAAAAATTATAATTCCGGAAAGAAAAAAATTCTATTCTCGAAAACGTCGGTTACTGATTGAGAACCACTGTTGTTCTGTAAGTGAACCCCGCCTCACAATTGTCTCTCGCTCACGATCTCGCAAGAAGTTATATGCTATGCTCCCGGGAAGAGTAACCACCTCTCGGCACTCGACCACCTTCTCTCCAACTTCTGTCCTCAAGAAGGAAGTAGGTAAATATGTGTGTGTACATAGTGCGAGAACTCGAGATGGCCTCTCTCTCTCACTCACACACACACACACTGTCTCTTTCTCGACTCACACGCACGTTTCAACACATGATTGGTAAATTCTTCTGCTTCAGGAACGAAGCTGCTGTTGTCCCATGTGCGGTCTGAAAATACGACCAGGAAGAAGAAACTGCCGTTGAAGACGAAGCGACAGAACAAGGAAGAATATTTTTTCTGCGAAATAATATGGAAACTTGTTTTTTCACCCCCCCTTTAAAAATTAACACCACCGGAAAGTGAATTTATTTGCATTCATGTTATCTTCTCTTCTCCCCAGATATACCAACACAGCTTAAAAAATTTCAGTTTCAAAACACCCCTGCTATAAATATGAATCTCATTTTAATAATCCTTGAATTTTTTTTAAATTTTGTGCACACTATTTTATTGGAATTTTTCATTAGACGCTATTTTGGATCCGCCATTTTGTGAGTTTAATGAAAACTTGATTACTTTTTGGACGTTATTGTGCATTTTTTGTAATGTTTATTTCATATAAAATCAATATGCGGAAGTACTTTAGGAGCCGTAAATTAAATTGTTAATTTTATAAATATATTATTAAGTGTT